ACGTGCTGCTACAGGAAAATAAATAACAAATAAAATTTATCGCAAAAATAAGGCGTCCTGTTAAATTATTGGACAACGTAAATTGCTAACCTGTACAGGATGTAGAAAAAAATAAACGACATTATTTTTTTTATTATATTAACATTTTCATATGCTTTAGGGAGTTTCTAGCTTATGAATGCAGATAGAAATAAAGTTGAGATTTTCGCAAAATAGTTGGCTTCTTATTGATGAAATTACAGATATGAGGAAGAGGGCTGTGATAAATAGATTATCAACCCTCTGTAGTTCTAACTTCTAAAATCTTTTATAAATATTTAAAAAGTTATAAGCAAAGGCGAATTTTTATAAAAAAAAAAATTCTTTCAGATGAAATTATGTTCTTCAGTTATCAACGGTAGGTGTATTTTATATATTTTATGTACAGGTTGTCAATCAAAATAAGAAATCTGAATACAAGGGACGGTAAAAAGCATGTTAAAAGCATATATCAAAATCACCCTGTAGCTCAAAAACTATGAAGGTTATAACATGTGATTTAAAGTAAAAAAACTACGTCAAAAAGGCGCCTGGGGAAAAACAATCCATGATAATTTTGGCGAGAGTTAATCTCTAGACGTTTGTATCTAGTAAAATTTTACATAAAACTTCAATATTAACCCTAAATTATAGAAAAAATAAAAAAAGGATGGTTCTAGACACACAAATCTATTTCAAAAAATATTTTTTTTCTGTAATTTTAAACTACGCCGTTTAAAAGTTGTTTTTACGCAGTATAAAAAGCAAAATACAACCTTCTTAAGGGCAACTGGCAGTAAGCGCCATTAAACAATAAAGAAGAGGACGGGCCAAGAAAATGAAGTCTAGGGCTTGAGTTCGCAAAAATTGTCATCGTCATTCCCCAGCCGTTCATGACGCCGTTTTTTTTAGACCGTAGGGTATTTTATAAAAAAATAGTAGCCACTGCGAAATCCGCTACTTCCTATCTCCTGTTCATAAGGAAGAAATACTATAAAATATGAGATACCCATGTTAAACGGTTTCGTCATTTCCACATTTCGTTGCAATTAAGGGCTTTCTCGCTTATTAGTAAAGAATACTAAATGTCGAACTCGTTACTTAAACGAACCCATTATTTTTTTCTTGAAAGCAAAGATACAGTACACAAAATTGTCATGGCCCTCTTAGTTTCTATGACACAATGTGTTGCAGTTTTACACACACTTCATATTATATCAGTAGTCTGAAAAAAATAAAAACATATTCATATACTTAGAATATATTAGGTGGAACCAGAGACATATAAGAATAAGTTTTTCTTTAATATTTTATAAAAATTGTTAAAAACAATTGTCAAAAATTAACTTCGTCCTTCACAAGCTTTGAAAATATATGTAACAGCATATTTTAGTTAAAAGATGCAGAATTAATAATTTTAAAATAATACAAATAAAAATTTACATAGGACCATGCCAAAACAATGCTGCTATTATCTTTTAATTAGCGAAACCAATTTTAATCTATTTAATTTTTTAAATGAATTTTTTTTTTTTTTTTTTAAAAATATAAATACTAAGAACAATGACATAGGATATAACAAAATTTGTATTAAACTGTTTTACCTCTAATTAAAAACTGTGACTTATGGTGGCTTGTGAGAAGATACATTAATTTCCTGACAAATATACGGGCTGTCCCATTAATAGAAACTAAACATTGGTCGATATTTAAAAAAAAAAACATTTAAATTATTTAAGAAATTAAAAAAAGTTCCATAGCAATATGATTTAAACTTATTGATAAGTTGTCAGACTACTGAAATAAGAATGTATTATTAAAATAAAAAAAAAAAAAAAAATCACCCTGTATCATAGACACTAAAAGGGGACTGTGGCAATTTTATTTTCGCAAAAAATCAAGTTTATAAAAATCGCAATGACCTATCCTTACTAATGAGCGAGATGGAAGTCTGTGCAACATTATTGATTGATAAACTTTTCATAGCAAGCGCCAACCAAAGAAAGACCGTAAAAGTGGAAATGATAAAATGACGGAAAATACACTCATGAGGAAGTGACAAATACATTTGGAACATTTTAACAATGGACGTTTTTATAGGGTTTGTTGTTTATTTTCCATTTTAAACTAATAAAATTAAAAATTGCATAAATTAATTAATCGCTCATCTCATGAATTAAAATTATACAAAAAGAATTGAAGTGAATAGTTAATAAATAAATAAATAAATAACATATTAAATAACAAAGTAAACTTCTAGTTAACTGAAATTTTAAATGGCTTTAATATGGTGCTCTAATATTACCGTCATGTTTTGTAATAAAAAGATTGAAGTGAAAATCCCAAATAGAACACCTAGTTTATTTAATACTGGGCCACCCTGTAGTAATTTAAACGATTTTTTAGTGAAATTTGAAAGCTTAATACTTACTTAGAAAGCAATAAACAAATATATTAATTATTCTACAAATTTTAGCTTTTAAGGTGTTTGAATGAGTAAGAATCGATTAGGCAACCAGTTATACTAAAATTTAAAGAAATTAGAGATAACTATTTTCAGATGACTTTTCTATGTAAAATGAGCTTTATATAATTAATTACGCAATTTTCTATTGGAGTACAGTGGTGGATTAATCATTACACAATTACAAATCTTAATCCCATCACTGACTAAATATTTAAAGATTCCGAAACTACAGTTTACGGCCTTAAAATTAGTTCAGATAATTGATAAGTGCTAATTAAAATAAATTATTCCAGAAAAAGCTTGCCAGATGCATACAAAACACCAGTATCAACTCATAAGAATGTTATTTAATGTAATCTACTAATTTGAAGTAGTAATTGCTAAAGCATAATTTTTAATATATTCTACTTTCAAATATCTGGATATATTTAATTTCAAATATTAACAATGCCACAATTTTGTTATTTATAAAGTACATTATTATAAAATTAAAGAGTGTTTTATTTATATAGCAAAAGAAAGACATTATATTATATTTAGTTACCAACGTATAAAGTAATTTAGTACAATTTGTTTTGATCTTGTTATATAAAATACTAGTTGAAACCTGGCGCATCCGCCATGACATCAGAAATAAAAAATATTTTATTATCTTTTATAATTAAATGAAAAACAAAAAATCCGGCGACGACAGTTTTAGAAGAGCCAATTAGCTATCTTTTAGTAAAAAGCAACTTTCTAGAGCAAGTCGTTACTTCAGTAGAGACGACACAGATAAACATTAGCATTTTATAATGTAGATTTTCAATTAAAAATACGACTTCATAAATTTATGAAAGCTTTAAAAATGTACAGGAAAAATCTAAAATAACAACATTGCATTTAAATACTACCAATATGAAGCAAAAATATATTAAAAACACCCTGTGTATTTCTACGAACTGACTTTAAAATATCAGGCTACGTTCAGATTTACGTATTGCTTGTATCCCCGAAACTAAGCATTTTTGGGACATACATTTATACGAACTTTCTGCCTTTTTTATCTGCAGAATATTCTTCCGAAGCTTCTGGAATACAGTTCGGATCACCCTGTATACCGGGTGTTGCATCGTCGAGCGGGACATAGTAAATCCCATGTAAATTTTAATGGGGTCAATTATTGACTTCCCTAATTATTTTAGAGAATAATTCTATTTAGGTTTATTGAAGAGCACTAAAACCCACATTCAAAAGAATAACTTTAGATATTTTTGATTAGCTCGTTTACGAATTATCGCCTATTTCTTTTTAAATATTTCTCTTTCTTATGGCCCTGTATTTACCATGAGCACCAGTCAAGGTGAAAGATAACTGTCAATTGAAGTTGTCATTTCAGAAATTTACCTATTTAGTGCTTTGTGTGAAAACTCTGTTCCTACATCTGAAATCTTAAAGATGCATTTATAAATACAAATTAATATGAATTAGAGTAAAATAAAGTAATCAGTTAAAAGGTTAATTATATTATTACAATATTCAATAACTTATTAATTTGAGACTATTAAATTGTTAGAACTTTAGGATTTAAGATGTTGAAATATTCCTCCATCGACTGCTAGACAATAACCCAGGCGTTCATAAAATTCTCTTCTTAATTCGTTAGTTGGTAAACTGAAATTCTATTGCATTCGGCAGAAATAGCATTTTTTAACTCGTCTAGATTTGGGTATTTTTTATCCTTGTATATCCTGTTTTTTAAATGGCCCCAGAGAAAGAATTCATTTCGGATTTTTCGAAATCCCCATCTCGTAGCTCTTGGTGGTTTTCATATTTGAAGGAAGAGTATTTATGTCGTGTCGTGTCAAAATTCGAAACGCTGTAGTGTGATCTATTCTATTTCATCCTCAAGTTTCCATGTGTTGATCTTTCCATCGTTCTCTTCCCCGCACAATAAAACTTCCAAGTCGGTATCATTTCTTGCATCTTCTTTGGTCCTGCCTTGCTTCACATCTGCAGTTATTTATTGGGTACCTTTGGTCTCAAATTTCTGGATATTCCTTGCGATTGTAGATTTTCCAGGTATCGGTCTATTCAGATACAGAGCAGCAAACATGTCCGACACCTTTTGATAACTATTTCCTTGATAATACCGTTTAATCATCAATACTTTTCTTCGGTAGTGTAATTCATGGCTAATATTTTCGATGTAGGTATGAGTTTTTAATAATAATAATAAAGCACTAAATAGGTAAATTTCTGAAATTACAACTTCATTTTGACAATTATCTTTTACCTTGACTGGTGCTCATAAGTAAATATAGGGGCCATAAGAAAGGAGAAATCTTTGAAAAGAAATCGGCGATAACTTGTAAACAGGCTAATCAAAAATAACTAAAGTTATTCTTTTTGAATGTGGGTTTTAGTGCTCTTCAATAAACCTGAAATAGAATTATTCTCTAAAATAATTAAGGGAAGCCAATAATTATTGACCCCATTAAAATTTACATGGGATTTCTATGTCCCCGCTCGACGATGCAACACCCGGTATAACAATTTCAATATCCAAATGAAATAATCCAATGCCAATTCACCCCTAATAAAAAAGGCTATTTATTTTTGTTATAGGCTAATCGAGTACCCACATCTCGGATCCAAACCCCCATACAATCGCGCAGATTGGTCGATGACCCGGAGGCAGTAACCAGTCCAGGGTAAAAATAAAACTAATATAATTATGTTTGGTTTGAATTAGAAGCCCTTAGTTCAATCTAGCGGTACTCTGATAAAGTCAATATTATATCATATCGTCCCCTATCTTACGTACCGGCGTAACTCGCAGTTAGTAAAATTGCCAGTAGGGAAGAAAATATAAAATTTCCCGTATTAGACTTGTCTATCACTGTCTTGGTATCGTGATAGATACAGACTCACTGGCGTGGTGGGGTCCAGCGGACCCCAAGCACTATTTAACCGATTTTATCATTTTTATTGTTCCTATCAGCAGGGGCTAAAGTTTCATTGGGGTCTGTGTGGCACCACCACGCCCAGAATGTTACATTATTAGGATGGTGGGTAGTCTAAATAGTGTGCCTCACTGGGACGCTAATTTTGAGGAAGCATTAATTGAGTGATTTGATGAACTTAAAGAGGCTTAAGTGTAACCATAACTCCGATTCTGAATCTCTTACTTATAGAAGAGAGAAAATTGAATAATCAACACCAGAAAAGAAAGAGATGTGGTATATGGCAACCATATGTCAATGAAAATGACAAACAAAATCTCATGAGATCAAATGAGCACGATGCATGTGCGGCAAATGCAGATCCATTATTAGCATGAACTGTATTTGAAAAGTTATGTACATTCAAGATTTGCAGTTTTTGTTAGAAAACCATTTATGTTTAATTATTTAGCTTCACATTTCAGTTGTTTGTACTTTAATAATACGGTAAAATCATAAAATAATATGTTATTAATTTCTGTGTTTCTTAGCCAAGTTATATTTCTGTTATCAAAATTTCTAAAAAATGCCTTTTACTTTATTTTGTGTCGTTATTATTAATTTGTTGAAAATTAAAAAAAAAGTGTTAATTTCTGAAATCAAAATTATTTAAAGCTTAAGTCAAATTCAACATAAAGTCAGTGGCGTAACTATCGATGTGCCGTGTGCGAAGCACACGGGCGTATTTCCATATCTATCACATGCTATCGCGAATCAAGCAGAATCCTTCTGTTTCTGTTAGGTTAGAGTTAACATAATTCCCGTCAAGTCAAAAGAGCCAAATTCAAGATTTAAGTACCTATTTTTATTGTAAATATAGGGTGTTTCCAAAAAACATGTGCCACCTCTCGTGAGGAGATTCCTCACCAGCTACAATTTCAAGATCTACAATTTTTGAACCGAGTCAAAAAACTGATAGTAGCGCCCCCTCTCTCCAGCGTTTGAAATAAATCAATTTAAAAAAATAACAAATATCTACATATACAGGGTGTCCGGAAATTAATGCAACAAAATTTGGTCATAGATTCTTGAAAAAAAAATAGGTGACCCGAATTTTTTATACTTAACCCCCCTTTTGCCTAACCCCCCTTTTCGGATTTACAGCCCCCTAAATTTCGCCCCTAAAAAGAGTTTTTTAATATCTCATGGCCCTGTTGGACGAAAATCACTAAATTTTATACACGTTGTTTTACATAACTATTATTTTTTTATTTTCATCAGTGGTGTCCCTACGGTATTTAAACTAAATATTATTGAAGAAAAAAATGGTACGCCACTGTTTTTTTTTTAATAAAAACTATTTTTAAAATCTACATTAAATTTGCAACAAATTTGATCTCTTGACTTTTTTTTGGTATGACGCACCGTTTTCGCGTAAAAAAATAAAAACCATTTTCATACATGACCAAATGGCTAAAATTTTGATGTAAATTTTCATAGCAAAAAATTATTATTAAAAAAAAACAGTAGTGTACCATTTTTTTCTTCAATAATATTTAGTTTAAATACCGTAGGGACGCCACTGATGAAAATAACTAACGGGCCCGGGGTGCATTTCCATATCTATCACATGCTATCGCGAATCAAGCAGAATCCTTCTGTTTCTGTTAGGTTAGGTTAACATAATTCCCGTCAAGTCAAAAGAGCCAAAATTCAATTTAAGTACCTATTTTTTTATTGTAAATATAGGGTGTTTCAAAAAACATGTGCCACTTCTGGTGGGGAGATTCCTCACCAGCCCCGGATCTACAATTTTTTTGAACCGGGGCAAAAAACTGATAGTAGCGCCCCCTCTCTCCAGCGTTTGAAATAAATCAATTTAAAAAAATAACAAATATCTACATATACAGGGTGTCCGGAAATTAATGCAACAAAATTTGGTCATAGATTCTTGAAAAAAAAATAGGTGACCCGTATTTTTTATATTTGGCCTAACCCCCCTTTTCGGATTTACAGCCCCCTAAATTTTGCCCCTAAAAAGAGTTTTTTAATATCTCAGGGCCCTGTTGGACGAAAATCACTCAATTTTGTACACGTTGTTTTACCATAAATATTATTTTTTTTTATTTTCATCAGTGGCGTCCCTATGGTATTTAAACTAAATATTATTGAAGAAAAAAATGGTCCGCCACTGTTTTTTTTTTAATAAAAATTATTTTTAAAATCTACATTAAATTTGCAACAAATTTGATCTCTTGACTTTTTTTTGGTATGACCCACCGTTTTCGCGTAAAAAAATAAAAACCATTTTCATACATGACCAAATGGCTAAAATTTTGATGTAAATTTTCATAGCAAAAAATTATTAGTAAAAAAAAACAGTAGTGTACCATTTTTTTCTTCAATAATATTTAGTTTAAATACCGTAGGGACGCCACTGATGAAAATAAAAAAAGTTAATAGCATCAAAAAATGTCTTTTAATTGGCATTAAACGGCCTACACAATTTTGATATCAAAAGAAAAAAGTCAGTGGCGCACATGTTTTTTTTTTCGAAAAATATTCCAGTGATAACCCATATGCACGTCCCTGATGAATTTACCGACACTTTTCTAGCATTAAAATATGTAGCATTTATAGTAACTTTTATCCTGAAAATGTCATTTGAATCACTAAAGGTACTTTTAAGAAAATTATAATAAATCGAAAGGTTATTAAGACTTTAACACCCTGTAGCTACGAAACAAAACAGAATCGAACCTATGTTGATATGAAAAATAAATCTTATTTTTACGTGAGGAATCTCCCCACGAGAGATGCGGCACGTGTTTTTTGAAACACCCTGTATACATTTTCTTATTTTACCGATTTCCAGGGCTCCTATCGGTAGCTACTTGAAAAGAACTAATGCCAGATCTGTCCAGTCTTCTTACGGGAGAAAAGATGCTTCGTACAAAGGTTCTGAGGTACCTGTCGACGTCAAACCATATTCAGAAAATTGTCTGAAAGCCGATCAGAGGTTTATGTACGAGATCATCGGTAAACGGGGTAAATCGCTGAGCAACATGGCGCAGGCCCTGTTTCCTTCTATAAGGAATAGATATCAGTTGCATGCCCTGGATGAGAATAAAAAAAACGAAGTAAGTCAATTATGTTTTTTTGTTTGTTTAGTAATTATTTTATTTTTTTATTATTTATTGTTTATTTTTATTTTATTTTTTTTATTTTTTTTTTTTAGTTTTTATTTTATTTTTGAAAAATAAATCTCATCTTTATCTTGAGAAATCTTCCCATGGGAGATGACCCATGTTTTTAAATACCCTGTATTTTCCAGGATGAACAACAAAATCTGTACGAGGGTAGGATAATATCAGACTACGACACCAAGATCAACGTCCAGTCGGTCCAGCTGGAACAGACTCATACACATCAGGGCAGGACATTCCAGCTCAACTTGTCCAAAAAAAAAAAATGTCCCTGTTTCCCGGACAAGTTGTCATTGTCAAGGGCAAACCATTTAGACAATACAGTGATAGCAAAACTGAAATTGTGGTAGAAGAAATTTATGCGGGAACAGTTTTCAAGTTTTCTGACGAGTTTCCTGTTACTAAAGGTAAGTGGTGAAGCTATTATAGTTTAGATATGTATTTTGTTCCACAAATGGCGTTTACATTTTGTAAAAATCGCGTTTAAGTGCAAGGATACTATATAGAGATAAGGATAGTTCGATTCCTATCTTCCTGTCAGTTTTTTACGTCATCTACTGACCGAGTTGAAGTTGGCGCTAAAAAGATTTTCGGAGACAGTGACAGTTATTTTTGCATTTGACGGACGAGCGCACAGTGCGTTGGAGGATAAATTTAGCGGGACAAAAGCGTTTGGTTAGAAATAAGCCAAAAAATGTGTACTGATAAGAATAAATAGTAGACATTCCAATTGATACAAAAATGCATGAATATTCTTTGTATTACGATACATTTTTATCAACCAAATTTGGTCGTTTTCTGCTCAGCAAGGCAGAGATCATACGAAAAGAAAATATTTACAAGTGCTTATACATTTTATTAGAAAGCCAAATTATGTTGAAGATTGCCAAAGGTATGTACTTTTCTACTGTATGTATATTATTTGTTAAAATCCTTCGTGCCTTTGTTTTGCAGATATCAAACTTTCACTTTTTTTTCAAATATCGATATAGTGAATGATGTAGATCTTTTGAGTTACCAATAGTTACCAACACAGGTAGTTACAGTCACAGGGAGTTCAAGCTTAACAGGTGAATGCCCAAAAAGATTAATTTCAATCGGAACAAAACATAAAAACAAAACAACTCCATCAAAAGGCACTGAGTTTAAAAAATTGTCTTAGATACTTACTATAGGTATATGAATTTACAATTACCGAGTGTTAAAATGAAAATTAAAATATCTATCTTATTTATTATTTTCAAAATAAAATATATTTTTTTAAAATAAATTATAGAGGGTGTCACAAGATTACAAATTAATTAAAAAAAAACTGCTAAAGGGTTTTTTGATATCATAATTTTATGTATTTGGCAATAGTTTACAATACGGTTTTTGTGTGTCATGTACGAATAAATATCATAGTTTTATTATCTTGTATTTATTTATTAATAAATTAAGTTGTTAATAAATAAATAAATTTAACCATATAGTTGCTATATATTAGACCATTTGCTACGTTCTTAGATTTTAAGTCCCAAACATTGCTCTTGAGATTTTGTCCCGCTAGAATAACCATCCGCCGCACTGTGGAGCGCTGGTCAGCGCGTGACGTAGCATTCCATGGCGACTACGACAGCGGCGATTTGACGCGATCGAACTGTCCTTTAGAATATATACAGTCCTTGGTTTAAGTGCGTGTTTATATGCATCTGGCTTGCCTAGCCCGTCGTTAATTTTATGAAATTTTATTGGTTTATTTCAAAAATGACAGGTAATACTTCAAACACGATTGGTGTGACGGCCGACGCTTGACGGATGCATGTAAACCCGCCTTAAGATCTGGAATAATCGATGAATCTTTGAAAAAAGATCAAGGAAGGTGCCTTTCTAGAAAAAATTGTTATAAAACATTTTCTCTTGAATCTTGAGCACAAAAACATTTCCAAATTTATTATTTCAGTCTAATAATTATTTAATTAACATGTTTATTTTTTGTCAATGATGGTATTTCGATTTGAAATACCGTACGATCGATAAAAACCGTCGCCAAAATTATCTTCGATTGCATTTCCATTGACGCCTTTTTTCTCGATCGTATTGTACTTTTACTTATTTAAAAGACACCCAGTATAATAATAGAAGATTTGTACAGGGTGAGTCTTAATTAAGTGCAAATATTTTTCGGGGTGGTATATTTCGACCTCAGGAACAAATCTATGTTTTCTTTCGCACAAAAAAAGATGTTGAAACATGCATTTTCTTTTAAATTTTCCTGTATATTTTAGAAAACTTTTTAGAACTGCTACCGGAAATTTTTCCATGGTATAATTTCTTAGTCTCTAATATTATCATGGTTACCGTACTAAAAGTGATACAAATACAGAAAAAATCCGGTGAATCCCAAATTTTTTTTAAAATAAATCAATTTTTTATTTTTTAAACTTGAATAACTCGGTTATTTTGGACTTATTTGAAAAACAGTAAAGAGGAAATATGTTTTTCTTTATCGAGATCTTTACCATACTTGAAAATATTTGCACTTATTTAAGACTCACCCTGTATATACATATATTTTTTTTCAAAAACTGTATATTGACTTCAATAATAATTATTTATAAAATATTTAAGGCAATATTTTAGTCAAAATTATTTGTTTTACGGACTTAAATTCAAAATACTACAGAAAATAAGCTTCAGAGGAAAAAATACTGAGATTGAGATTATTATTTTGCCTACGCCAAGAATTTTTTTCTTATCAAGTGGAAGGTATACAATCTCATCTGTGCGATGCGGTTGTGCTGAAATCAGCTTTTCATATTTTTAAGTGCGTTGGTTAGCTGACAAACAACCTCCTATAGCGATGGTAAGCATTTTTTTTTGTTATTCGGTTTGTTCCAACATAGCAGAGAACCGTTCTTGGTAGGGTTACGCTTATAGGCTTGGAGCATTTCAGTTGATTTCAACAAATTCGCGTCTTGTTGTGTTGTGATAATTTCAAATGTTAATAAAACTGCCCCAAAAAAATATTAACGCGTAAAGGAGAGCGTAATTAGGGCGTTGTTGGGTGCAATAACATTCAATAACTCAATTTTCCCGGATATTCAACTCTCCCGAAACAGCATTTTGACAGTTCAAAATTCTTCCGCGGGCTTTTCTAGTGTTAATTTTATTAGGTTAGCAACTTGCGACCATGCCGTCTCTAATAGAACAGCCTAGCGAGATTTATGACGTCACGCTAGTTAGATACTACGGATTAATAAATATGTTGTAGAATACATGGAAACCATAATTATTCCTCGTATTTTTGGTTTGTATTTTAAAAATGATATAGTTTACATGAAATACACATACTATACAGTTAATAAATATAATATATATATTTATAGTAATAAATACTTTGGCAAATGAACTATGAACCATACAAATGCAGCAAATGTTTTACAATATGGCTGAAATCGTACTCCATGGTCAATGTAGATAGTTTTAGTGTTAAGAATAATAATTTTAAAAAATATGTGGTCATCTTTTGACAAGTTTATATTTAGTTTATTAATTGCATAAACATTATGTGGTGTGTGGTGTGAATATTTTATATGTAATTTTTTAGATTATATTCGACACTATTTTTTTCATATTACACAACACTGATGAAGGCTATAATGTTAGCCGTAACGTTTTTATTTAAACCAAATAAGAATAATGAAAAACCAAATGAAAACTTAATCAGCGTTTTTCCCGAACCTAAATCCCAAGAAAATCAAAAGTTTTAAAATAATTTTACATATAAAATGACAGTGATCTTTATTTCATAGCCATCGCTGACGCTTTTTTTCTATGAAATTGTATTATTTGCAAATATAATTTTTCTAACATTGATACTTCCAAAATATACATATAAATTTTATGAATGCAAATAATAATACATCACTATTACTAGATATTGAATGTTTTTGTTAAATTAGATCGATTTTCAAACCCCAAAATTTAAAATATAGGTATTTTACATTTTACCCATTATCTTATGCTTTGCTGCATTTGCTGCATTCATATGGTTCGTAGTTTATTTGCCAAACTATTTATTACTATAAATAGGTATATATTATATGGTATTTATTAACTGTATATTATGTATATTTTATGTAAACTATATCATTTTTAAAATACAAACCAAAAAAAGGAGGAATAACTATGTTTTCCATGTATTCTACAACATATTTATTCATCCGTAGTATCTAACAAGCGTGACGTCATAAATCTCGCTCCGAGGCTGTTCTATTAGAGACGGCATTGGTCTGATATTTAGAAATGTCAAAAGCTGATGACATTTTACTTTTCGCAATTATGACATTTCGTGTTGATTTTTGCAAGAAGAGGAAGTCACTTGTTTTATTATTTTCCTTTTCTATTTCACGAAAGTAAAAAGAGTTACCTATCTGATTCGTTCAGGTACTCAATTTAAAGAATATCAGTAACTTTTTTGATAGAGGGATTTTATATTTGCCATGTTGGTAAAAAATAACGGTCAAAGTTATTCATTTTATAGACTATAGCTTCATAATTTCTTACCTTATTCACCGATTTGATCAAGAGCAAAAATGAAAATAGGCAAAAAAAACAAGAATTGCTCACAAAGATTCAACAACACGATATTATACAAAATAATGACTGACACTAGGATAATTGTCAAATAATAAATGACAACGTTGCTGAACACGGCGCGGCGCAATGTGACCAACGTAGCGATAATAAAATTTGGCTTAACTAATTTTTGCAGCTTTAATCTAAATAAAATATCTGTTGCAATCATACAGGGTGTCATTGAAATGGTGTAAAAAAAGGGGTGATAGTACTCCTAAAAATAGTAAAAAAAGTCCCTATAAGTATAGGGTGGAAAATGCATATTAAGGGAGTTAGGGGCACTGAAAGGGTGAATTTAAAACATCAGTGCCCCTAACTCCCTTAATATGCATTTTCCCCCCTATACTTATAGGAACTTTTTTTACTATTTTTAGGAGTAATTTCAATGACACCCTGTATATTCTATAAAGTAAAATGAAGAACTGCTGTATCTTAAATTATACAACAAATTTAAACATTTTTTTTTGACAAAATTTCATTTATTCAGGTTTATAGACCTTAGTGTCAATTTCGATATGATCGATGATGTGCATCGGGAATTGTTTTGCGATTACTCGTATAATACATGTCTAGCCTATAAGCAAAATAGGTTGTAATATTAATAATTAAAAATTAGGTTTTGAATTTGACACTAAAATCAGTTCAAAAACTGTGGAAGAGTACAAATTTCTGTGTTGGAACAAACCTATTATTTTTCTGTTTGGGTTACTAAGAATTTACGAGACTCGCTGTTTATACAGTTGAAAGTAATGAGGTGGTTTATGGACACTATATCAAATTTAAAGTCGTAATTTTGTGATAAGTTCCCTGGGATATTGATATACGCTCAGTACTGGATAAGGAAATTTAAAATTATGACAAACAAATGTTAAAAAATACAAACTCTGTTTCTAAGAAAAATTATTTAGATTCGTATAATACCGCGGGCAATAATAATAAAAATACCACATTTTTTAAATATTTTCATAGGTATACAGGGTGGTTAAAATATATTTTTACCGAAAAGTTGTAGTTTTTTAACGCATTACTTTATGTTTTTTGCTTAGTGAAATTTTGACGACATGTCCATTTCTAAAATACAGTCATAATCTACCGTATGATCGAGAAAAAAAACGTCATCGAATTGGCTTGGAAATGACGGTCGATTGCATTCTCCATGTAATTTTATAACAGCGATATTTATTTCAAAGCCATCTCCGACGCCGTTTTTTTCGCTTACATTGTATTATACTATATTTTTTTTGTAATTTGATTATTTTTAGACTAAATTTTGTGCATATTTAAAGGTGGTATATCAAAATTATAAAATTAAATTTTTTTATATTTTTATATATTTTTTTATATTTTATAATAAGGTTCTTTTCAAAATTAAATATATGCTATACGTGGTGTTTGAAAAATGCACGTCCATATTTGGGATGTGGTGGGGAATTTCTCATCAAAAAAATATATAGAATATATGAAAAAAAAAAAAGATACAGGATGTCAAATCTTAAAAAATATATTTTTTTGCAATAATCTTAAATCGCCTTGTTCTTTTTTGATCTTTCTGTGTACTGAACTAAACATCAATGTTCTAAAAACTGGAAAAAGCACATTCCTTATCTACATAATTTTTTTTAAGCAATTATAATAGTTCTAAACAAGCTTGTTTTTCCTAGTACTAATGTCTTTTGGTTCTTTTTTATTACCCCAATAGAACACACACCCAGCATTTAAATTGAGCCACTTAAAAATAGGGATGTACTCGTTAGATCGACATTTTAAAAATATCGATTTTCTATGTTCTTAAAGATTTAATTCTATTTTAATCCTGTTAAATTTTCTTTATTTTCTTTTATAAAAACCTTTTGGCGTTTTTATAAAGCGGTTTATTAAAATAAAAAACATGTTTTGCACTACTTAATAAAATTATTTTGTAGAGATGTGCAATTATATCGATGCTGAATATATCGATACATTTATATTACTTAATAATATTATGTACTTTGTGCAAGTAGTGTATACTATTACCAAGAAAACACATTTAAAAAAATATATTTTTTTTTATTTCAAACTCTAGGTATTTTTGTAACAAATTATTAACAATTAATGAGATTTCAAGATATACAAACGACAATTCAAAATATCTTGTTTATTTTTATCAAAAAACAATCTAGGTCTTAGCATTTTTTCTGATATTACATGTATTTCAAATTATCGTTTTGAACTAAACATCTTTCTATAAAATAATATCAATTCTTATTTCGATAACACAGTCATGATTTCGATCATGTACAGATTTCTCTGGCTTTCCGGTTTTTTACACAACAAACTGGCGACCAAATCACCGAATAATTGTTCTGGACTCTTTTCAACAGTCTCGCTCTTCTTAACTTCATTATTCCTCGAGGTAGTGGCTTGTTCTTCGTCTCTTCGCACCTTTTTGTCTGACGGTGCTTCACTATTCGCACTAGCAGATCTTTCCCTCGTTTTTTTGCAACTAAAACTATTATAAGAACTATCCGCCACTTGTTGAACAATGTTCTCTTCTTTAACTGCGTGCAGAAAGTCATTAGAAGAGTCAGTAAAGGAAGTGTCATCGGTATCAAAGTTGTATTTTATTTGAGCATAAGCCCTTTCTTGGTAAGGAGTTAGACTAGGTGCCGGCATACAGTCTCCATAGTCCATCTTGAGGTCTGACTGTTTCCTCCTGTACTGTATAACCTTATCCAAGAAATTCAGGCTGTCCAAGAGCTCCCATTTTGCTTCTCCATCCTGGAATTTTATTTTCTGTCTGATGTATTTCTCTCTAAGGGCTTTCCATCGAAGCATACAGCAATTGATGTCTCTGTTTAAGCTTGACGCGATGTTCTCCCAGAGTTGATGCTTCGAAGTCTTGTTAGGATAGGTATTGGAGTTCCTGTCCCATATCGGAGACGCCCTTTTCACGAAATAAATTAGTTTTTTATCGAAACCTGTTGGGTCTGCCTCGTTGTGGTCTGGGAGAATTTCTTCTTCGCTTTTGGTGCTACCATTCCATACCGAAGCCCTAGTGAGAATGTGGGGATCGAGGAATCGTAGATCGTCAAAGAGTTCCCAGGGTTTGTAGTAGTCTCCTTGGTTTTGGGCCTTTTCGCGTTCCCTCAGGTACTTTTCACGTAGTGATTTGAAAGCGTCCTTGCATAGGTCAACTGTAAAAAAAATACAGAAAGGCATTATAAAGATACTCTGTTTTAAGGGACTACTTCAGGGAAGATTTCGATAGAGGATGACAGAAAAAAAACAGTCGTACCAATCCATTTATTTCCGTAAAAAAAGTTTCTAGTATTTTTAAGTTAATAATTATGGAGTTTATATACAGGGTGGTCCGAACTGTATTCCGTAAACTTCGGCAGCATATTTTGCAGATAAAATAAGTAAAAAAGTTCGTATAAATGTATGTCCTAAAATGCTTAGTTTCGGAGGTACAGGGTGTAGAAGTTTCATTTTTATTTTGTTTTTTTCCAAATAATTTCTGAAGTAACGTCAATATTTGGATGAAATTTGGTGTCTTGGAGTTTTTTGACATGAGAAATTTGATTTTGATGTCAATATGACTCCTATTTCTAGGGGGCGCAACCTACATGTGTTTTAACTGTTTCGAACTTTGAATAAGAAGCCTAAGGAAGGAGCATGTCAAAAATCTTAAGTCCACCGCGATGGGCCTCAAATATGGCCGACTTAAATTCCGGTTTATCAGTGCCATTCTAATTTTATTTAAAATATGTAAAACTATGATGTAGGGTAGACGTGGGGTAGACTCAATATTTTTTTTATATTTTACGTTGTGAATAAATGTTGGTAGTTATTAAAATTGTTATAAAAATAGATAAGTTATAATAATTATTTATAACCATAAACATCCGATACGCTACTGAAGCAGGTAAGTCAAATTGACGTATCCAAATTCTTTGACATCTCAGACTAATCTTTGACAAGTAGTAAATAAATGCAAAAATGCAATAAAAAATATATAATTAGTTAATTTAAGTGAATTTCATAAATGATCGGTTTACTACACGTATGTATATTATATAGTCACTCATTAGCGAAAAGTTGTTCCATTATTTCACTCGATTTTTGCCGACATCTACCGCACGCTACACAACCAACTATTTTAGTCTTTTTCGATAAATCGCGATAATGTCACTGTTAATTTAAGTTCTGCCACAATTTCCATCTAGATTTACTACCTTTATACAACTATCAGTAGTAGAATAAATAATAAATAACATAAAATAAGCTCCGTAAAGACTGACAAATCCACAAAATTTCAAATCAAATTCAAATGTGTCAAATGAATAGTCAAACAGAACTGTCAAGGATCCCCACCCTAGAGTCCTTTTTCTGCCCACCATGCATGAATCCATGTATAGTATTTTGCTTCTTCCTTAGTCTTCTTATTCAAAGGGTTTAACGGACCGCTGAACGACAAACGGACGCCGATGCGTATGAACTCGACTTAAGATTTTTGAGACTTGTCAAACTGTTTGATATAGGTTATAATTTTGTGTCAAATTATGTCAAATAGAAATAAGTAAAAAAAAATATTTTGCATTTTTTGGACTGTATTATTACGTGTGTTTCGTGTTTTTAAAATTGTTGAAGAAGGAAAACTCAAAGGGAAAATTAAGTGTTGACCCAGAAAATAGTTTACAGTTAATATTGGTGCCCAGAGACAGTTTGCCAGAGAGTTGTATTAGCCACAAATAAACTTGTTATACTATCTTGTATATGATACCAAAAACTGGAGTATCTGTAAAATAGCACACGATAGGTAAATAATAATCATATTGATAAGTATGACAATAAATGCCAGAGTTACTTGAGAGCTTGAAACACAGCAATACGTAACTGG